ATTATTATTATTATTATTATTATTATTATTATTATTATTATTATTATTATTATTATTATTATTATTATTATTATTTGCTCGACAATAAAATTTTTAAAATTTTTGAAATAAATAAATTTAATAAATTTAAAACACTTAAAATACTTACATGGCTAAAGCCAAACAAAGAATCAACGGACCCCACAAATCCCCTTATGAGAATTAACGAAAATTTTTTTTTAATCTTTTAATCCTTTAATTGATCATCACATATGGACATAAGGATAATAAAATGAATATATTTGAAATATTTACAATCTCTTAATACATCACTGCGACCTTTTGGATTAAGTACTTGTCGCAATTTGATTGCAATGTTTCGCAAATCTCGAAGCTGATTTAAATAAATAAATAAAATGTTTAATCAAAAAATTGTGAAAATTTTGGAAAATGAAATTTATGAAAATAATAAATAATTAAATAACAATAATTCTTCTTTTTTTTTAAAAAAAAAACCCCCAACTAACTACTTAATTAACTTACAAGAGTTTCTGATACAGGTTCATCAAGTGTATTACTAACAAAAGGTCTAGTAGTAGTTTGACCTATTGACCCAGATACAGGTGGTGGTTGCGAATCAATATTAATAGTTGTTGATTTTGGTGGAGCTGCTTTTGCTTTAATAGAATTATGAGCAAGAGGTGATGAAAGGTCTACATCATCAGGTTCTATTATTGTATTAAGATCTGAAACATTATGATCATCCGATGAAATTTCGAACGGGTTGGAATATGAATTTCCATTGCCGTGTAGAGGTGAGTCACTTTCTGATAAAGGAGAAAGTGTCATGATCGTTATATTATTTCTATATATAAAAAGTTAGGTCTAAATTTTTAAAATTAAATTAAATGTAAATTATTATTTAACAAAATATAACATTTGAATTTTTTCTTTGTTTCAATAAATTTTTTCAACGAGTAATAGGCATTAGCGTGGAATAATTTGCAGTCCAATTTTTATTGGTTACTTAATAACGTCGATCAAGTTGAATATGATTAACAACTGTATAACTCGATATCATATAAATTTAACTACTTATGTCTGCCGACGAAACTCATGTTACAACAACTGAACCAAATGCTGTTGAAGAACCACTGGATCTGGTTCGTTTATCACTTGATGAACGAATATATGTAAAACTACGTGGAGATCGAGAATTACGGGGAAAGCTTCATGTATCACATAAATATTATTTAAATCACTGGCTAGTTGATTCATTTGGATACATGATAGATTGTGGTTTACTATCGTTTTGTTAAATATTCTTAGGCATATGATGGTCACTTAAATATGATATTGGGGGACGTGGAAGAAACTATAACAGTTGTAGAGATTAATGAAGAGACTTACGAAGAAGTTATTCGTGTAAGTAGTAGATATTTTAAATATTTTTTAAATATAGATCGTTCAAATTTTCATTTCCTAATTTTATTATTTTTCCTTATTTTCTTAGACAGTAAAAAGAACTTCGGAAATGATATTTGTACGTGGCGATGGGGTTATTTTGGTATATATATATATTATACATCTATCTATATATATCTTTTATATTTTTTTTTCTTTTTCTTACAATCAAATATTATTAAATAATTAATTATATTTAACAATCAATTCTCTCTCTAAAAAAAATAAAGGTCTCACCACCGGTTAGAACTGGTGGATAAAAAAAAATACACTTTATAAAATCTTAATAAAGCATTATTTTATCATTTTATCACATTTTGATCATTAAAATCTACACTCTTATTGGATAAAATCAAAATTTATGATTTTATAATAAACGTATACACCAGCCTGCCAAAAATATCCAGACAGCTGTTTTTTATCAAATTTTTTAAAAAATTTCAAGGGTGAATTCTGGAATAATGAATAATTGAAATTGCACAAATTTTTTTTAAAAGAATTTCCAGATCAAGAGTTACTGTGTGATATCTTATTTATTCAAATTGGATACCTGCTTGTTTTAAAATTTTGTCTTAAATAAAATTAATCAAAAATTGTAATCTTTTTCTATTTCAGTAATTATTTACCAGAAATGTTTACTATCTTATAGTACTAAACTAAAGAAACAACTTTAATTAGTATCATATTTTATGTTTCCTAGTTAAAATTAAACTTTATTTAGACATTACTAAAAAATGATCAAAATTATTGTTGATCATTTACTGTTTAAAGAAAATTCTCAATTATTGTTACTTTGCTGAAATTATTGTTTTTTTAGAAATATTAATACAATATCATAGTGACATTGACTTGATATTATGAAATATAGTTACAATATCACAGAGATATTGTGACAATGTTATTAAATGTTATCATAATATTACCATGATTAAAGATGACATCTGTAATTATGAATTGCAGATTATGATATTACTATGGTATGCATAGTCTAAAGTATACATGTTTCCAAAATTGATTTTGGATTTTTGAGGTATTTCGACTTTTTAAAATTTATACATAATCTATTCTATATATGGAAGTAAAAAAAGTACCCAGTTATATGTATCTTTAATCAAAGAATAAATCTGGGTGGTCA